TCTCGCCCTGTGGTGGAATTAATATTTTCAGGTTACTGTAGTTGTCGTTGCGGAATCTTCTTCCACGGCCACATTCAAGCAATGTTTGTCTGGCTGATCAGCACACATTTTTCGCGTAGTTCTCATTTTTTTTTGTTGTTGACACAAATCAACTTTTCTCGTTCAATCAATATTGTTGACACTTCGTTGGAATTTTTTGAAAGTTGATTGATAAATAGTGTTATTCCCAATCATAGTTTCCCTCCAATTCGTGTAATTGCGGATTTGCTTTCGAAACGAGAAATATGCAACCTAATATTGAGTGAGTTTGTGTCCACCGCTACATCTTCTGGAGGCAAGCACTTGCAGGGCAACCCGTCAACTGCACGAGCGAGTAGCCGAGGTATTCGGTCACAATCTGTCCAGCAACAAGCCAGTCAATGTGACGAATTCCCAGTACGCGAATCTCGTCGAACTACAGCTCGCATCGAAGCCAACGCTCTCCAGCGAGAACTCACACCTCTTCATCCCTCCATTCTTCGATCATAGCCACGTGGCAACGATTGATAAGGTTGATGTGACAACGGAGATTCAGAATAACACTCCGGCGATGATCTATCAAATCAAGTGGACCGAAAAGGCCCCCAAGTCGACGTCATCTTCTTCAGAATCATCATCTGGATCCGTTAGAAAAGTGCCTGTTCGTCAGTGTTTCTCCTCTAATTCTTCTGCGTCTTCCACGTCTTCTGCTGCTTCGTCAGACTCGTCGGAAGCGGATTCCGAGCCAGTTCCGTTGGTGAAGAAGGCGTCGTCAATGATAAAAATTTGTGGAAAAATCCGTTGTGACGGTCCTTGTGCTCAAATCGTCGAACAGACGAAAACCATGCAGTTCGGATGTGATCATGTGATCTGTGAGATGTGTCGTAAGAAATCGCCAAGTGCCGCACTTTTCGATGGTTCCCCGGGATGTTGTAACGAGAGTTGTATCAAGATGGCCAAGGAGAATGGGGATAAGTTGTGTGTTGGACAATCGGATTCGCAGGTGTCGATTTGTTCGGTGAGCATATCTCATTCAAATTAGAAGCTACAAAGAATTGTTATTTTTTTATCATATAGCTTTAGTGGATCTTCATTTTTGTAGTTGACAACTTTTTCGTATCTACAGTAGTTTTTGAGGTACGAGCCTTCAAAGTTGGCGTGCACTCTTCGCTTAACAGGAGGCGCGGAAACTTTAAAGGCTCATATCTCGAAAACTACAGTAGCTAGAAAAAAGTTACCAATTACAAAATTGTGTAACATTTTATTTTTTACATTTTTTTAGTTGACAACTTTTTTGTAAATTTTTTAGTTTTCGAGTTATTCGCCTATAAAAAAGTGGTACCTTTCGGTGGCAAGCGCCGATGCGTCCAATTTTCAAAGACACATATCTCAAGAACTACTGTAGCTACAAAAAAGTTGTCAACTACAAAAATGTAGCTCTGGTTTTGTTTAGTAGTTTCTAAAAATTACAGAGAGTTGACGCTGTTGAATCCATCCCAACTCATATTTGTATTCTCAAGAACTATCGTCATGACGTTCTTCGAACTGTGATGGAGTTTGAGTATCCGTCAAACGGACGTCTTCAGATGATTGTCAAAAGTTTGGCGTATTATAAGTAAGTTTAGCTTGGCTTACAGTGTCATGACTTCTACTAGGGATATCAGGAAATTTCACATTTTTCTAATTGACCTAGATTTTCTAGTTGACCTAGATAACCGATTTCTCCTACCTTCCGAGTTTGAATCCTTAATTTCTTCCAGTATTACCCGTTATTGATATATTTGCTCCCTATTTTTCTTTTTCTACCGGTTACATCTTTCCTGTGTCAATTATCTAAATTATCCCGTTTCCCCTCCCCTACTCAGATCGGCCTCGTGAGGGGCATTTTTCTGAGTCTTTCATGTCCTGCCCTCTAATGTTTTATTACACTTGATCAATAAACAAATTAAATTAAATTAAATCAGGTCCTTTAAAAAATGTATTATTGCAGAGACCTAATTGGCAACTCTCGTTTTTACTACTGTAGCCGCAAACCGACTCATCGTTCGGATCTCCGTCCAATCTCACTGACTGATACGAATCTTCGCTTTTACGATATTGTCGATATGAAAAATGGACCATACTTGTATCTCATTATTGTCGCTCGGGATATTCAATTTTGTTGAACTCCTTATTTCTGAATGAACCTCTTTGAATGAAGATTTTTTGTGGCAGAGAATTTTTTAAACTTTTATAAGGAACATTTTTCTAGCTTATCTGGGAAATGAGATAATTGACAAGGGAAGGTTTTTCAGACAACGGTTGAGAATTTGCTCAAAATTTGTACAAAGGTACTTTCGAACATGCTGAATCCGAATCCAAAAAAAATTTTCAGCCCGTTCTCAAAAGGAGCCAAAATATGGCCTCTGAAAGTGCTTCTAGTACTAAATTTTGGCCAAAAACATGCATTTTTCGAGGTTAAAAATTAATTTTTCAGGATTTGCTTGAGTGCGAAACTCATTTTTGGACATTTTTCTATCTTCTAAAGTAACTTTCAAACATTTTCAAAAAAAAAGTTTTTATTGAAAAATTTTGAAAAAAATCACCATGGGGTCCCCCACACTTTGAAAATGATTTTTTGAAATTTTTTTTGAAAAGTGCGAAAAAACGTTCCAATTATTCAGAAACGATAAAAATAGCATTCTGACAAATTTTTTCAGCCCAATGTTGTCTTTGGGCTCAAAAAATCTCCAAAATCTGATTGTTGTTAGAACTTTGACAGTTCCTAATTTCTGAAATATCGCTTGAACTTAACTGAAACCTATAGAAACAGGTACGAATCTTGTATGTGATCGATTTGACAGTACTCCACCTCAAAAAGAGCAAAATTGAGCAACTTTCAGAGACTGAAATTTTCGTTTTTAACGATACGAGGATGTAAGAACCGGTCGAATAGACCATAATCTATTTTTTCCTCAAACTCTCATGAAATCTTTTTTTTCTTTGAAAACTTTTGAAATTAATCAAAAAGTGTCATATAGTGCCTAGGGGGGCAAACTTGGAATCAAAATCGTTTCAAAAAATGCAAAAAAAAGTTTTGACCACAGTGGGGGTCGAACCAGCATAGTCACTCCTAATAACACAGGTCCTGGGCGCGCATACGCATAATGGATGGGCGACGGAGGACGCGCCGATGAATTGGGTACAGGGAAAGGACGCCGGTATGGGGCATATACGGGGCATATGGGGCACACCGCCGCCGCAAAGCATCTCCTCGCCTGGCTTGCTGGCACTCGATGAAATGAACTAAAACGTTGGTTGGGGGTTCCTAGAAGTATCAGTTAAGTTCTATTGTGATGTGATTTTGTTCAGGTCTTCCGATTTCGTACTTTTCCTTTATTATTCCATATTTTTTTATATTTTGAACGACATATTACTGATTTTTCGAAACTCAATGTTTTGGTTTTGAAAAAGATTTATGGCAGTTTCTATTTAAATTTGATATGCAATCAAAAACAGAAGAAAATGGGAAAAAATTCGCTAAAAATTGTTTTTTTTTTCATTTGTTCAAAAAATATGTCTCACTTTCACTTTTTTTGAAATTGCATGAAAAATTGAAAATTTTTATAATTTACACTTTGTAATTATTGTATACTTACCAACTTACCTTTTACTCCACCTGAAAATACGATTTTTACAATAACTACAAAGTGAAATAAAAAAATCTCAATATCACCTATTTTGGCGAAAAACATAGCAATTAACGAGTGAAAGACATGTTTCTGCAAGAATTCAGCGATTTTTTAGTCTGCCATAACTCTTTTTCACAAAAAACATCGAAGTAATAATCGAAAAACCAGAAATGTAGGCTCGAATTGACGAAAAATTGACAAAGTTGCCGGTGTGGATTTACGGTAAACAATGCGCGCATCCGGGATTTCGGAGTGTTGTAGTCGGCCTACCGTATCAGACCCATATCGCACACATCGCCCACCCACCTAGAATCCATCTAGGATACGCGCGCATTCGGAACACTCGATTCAGCCTCTCCCGCATCACACACATATGAGACTCATCGCAGCTCATTGTTCGCGATATGTGTCAAACGGACTTCTAGAGGATCGCATATGGATCGGGTCCTTTATGCGCATCATCGCCCAGGACCTGTGAAGCCTCCTTTTACCACAACACTACACAACCGATATTTTCCTCTCACGCGGAATTGGTAGAGGAGGGAGGGGAAGTTGAAATCCCCAGCGCACCGAAATCGGCCCAAATTTTCAGACAAAGTTTTTCGGCCTGGGAGTGAGAATGGGCTAAAAATTTTTTCGTCATCGTATAGAGCATGTCTTAAACTATAAGTATTCAAATTTTGAGCAAATTCTCAATCGTTGTCTAAAAAACCTTCCCTTGTGAGGTTAAAGTGTGACAGTCTGCCGAGTCGTCTCCGCTCCAGGAAGGAGAGAGGGACCCCACAACTTTGCACCTTATCTATGTTCCTATGAAAGATACCAAAAAGACCTGAAAAAATGTGGATAATTTTATGAGGAACATTTTTTTAGTTGACTATTTTGGAATAGTTTTTCTAGGAAGCGAGATATTTAATTCAAAAGACTAGCTATGCAAAAGCGCTCTATTGAAAGGCGCGATCGCCAATGAAAATGTTTGAAGAAGGTGTATTCCTGCTGCACGGTGAATTCTCCGGAACGTTTTTCGAAATAAATTTTTTCGCGCTCTTTTCATTTTTGGTCGCAATTTCGCTGTGTAGCGACTCAGTAATTCATTTTTTAGCATGCGCGTCAATACTCAGCGCGCTTAACTACAGTAGTCAAGTCACTGATATTGAAGAAACGAACACAAAAACAAGAATATGGTAGGTGTTCAAAAACAAATTGAAAACTTAGAAATATTTCCCAGTCATCAGTGGTTTAACACTCGCATTCGTCAGTATATGATTTTGGAAATCTTCTTTGTAATATCTCTGATTATGATTCTCTCCAGGTTTCAAACTATATCTAATCAGAACGAGCGGGTTTTGGAAATGGTAAATTGTGAATTGATATTCTCATTTGAATAATTATTGTATGTAGGTTAAATCAATGCAGTCTCAAATTGGTACTATGGAAAGAAAATTAGATTCGCTAGTTTTTCTAAAATCAAATCAAGAAATAAACCAGTTTGAGGGTACAATTGCTGATGCACTCAAGAATATTAAATTTCCAACACAAGATTCATCAGACAAAGTGGGGCCAATCATCATTCCGCAAATAAACCGATCCATATCTAAAACTGAGGAGAGTGATCTCAAAATTCCTATCCCCAAAGAACAATTCAGATTAAATGCAGCTGATTTTATAAAGGGAGCATCTGTGGACATTGCTCATTCTTCCAGTTCAAGTTTGAATCCAATAACTGGATATGATCAAACTAATCTTGTTTTACTTGATCGTCTTCAATCACCATCCGATAAAGCGTGGTGTACAAATGCGGAGAATCCAGTACTCACTATCAATTTGGCCAAGTATATCAAATCAATTTCTGTATCATATCAACATTCTAAATGGCATAGAATAATTCCGAATGGGTCTCCCAAAACATATGATGTAGTGGTGAGTTGACTTTTCCGGTTTAAGTTTATCAGAATATTGTTCAGGCTTGTCTTGACTTTTACTGCGAAAAATGGGAACCATTAGTATCCAATTGTGAATAGAGCCAATATGATTCAAATGAACAGATGTGCAACATTTCTACTCATCTGGATGTTCCTTCGATTGGAAAAGTCCAATTTCGATTCCGTGAAAATTATGGGGACACAAAAATGACTTGTGTTCACTTGGTTCGTGTTTATGGAGAGACGAAGACACCTTCGAAAATTGAAGAGAAGAATTTGGAAAGTGAAGAAATTTGTGCTGATTTCAGATGGTATTATCATAACAGCTACTTCAGATATACATGGGTAAATGGAGTTTTAATCTACACTGAATACAAATGGTTTTTTTCAGACGGATAAAAACTGTACAGCATACTTGTAAAATTCCGGGCCGGCCCGCCAAAGCCCGGGCCTGAGGAAAATTTTGAGGCCCGGGCCCGGCCCGGAAGACCCGGTAGCAAAAATTTTGTCATTTTGAACCGAATTTTGAGCTCTCAATACAATTTTCTATATTTTTTTGTGCTTTTTGGATTGTTTGTCTGTTTGATCAAAAAATATCAAAAAAATTTTTTGATCGAAAAAAAATCACATAAGGGTCCCCCCTTATGTGTTTTTTGAAAATTTCAAAACTTGTGGAATGAAAGGCCCGCCGGGCCGGGCCGGGCTCGGGCCGTGCCGGGCCATGCCTCCGAAATTCCGAAAAAAGCCCGGCTCGTTACAAGTATGCTGTACAGTACTCTATGAAAATAATTGTTGCTCCGATTGTCCCGAATGCTGCGAAGTATGTTTGATATCTGATTATAACGGAAAAACCTTCAGAATCATTTTCCTAACCATAATTTGTACATCGTTTGTCATTGGTTTGGTTGCACTCTTAATATTGTTTGAAACTCGAACCACGAACACATTAGCTAGGTATCTGGATCGTTTTCCAAACGGTGATGAGTAGATTTTGCTAGGAGCATAAAAGATGCATGCCTGATGCGGTTTCATGCCGAGATGTTATGTAAAATTATTGTTACATTCCTTGATTATTTTTTCATTTTCCTTGTATTTTATGAGGTTGTTCATCTAGTGAATTTCAAAACGACTTTTACTATAAGAATTCATTCAAATTGCTTTCTGGGTATATAAATTTATCAGTAATGTTTTTTTGGTTCAATAAAACTTCAAAGCTGAAATTTCTGATGCTCCCCTAATCAATAAAAAAATAAATAAAAACCAGAGAAATTATTTTATTCCTATCTAAACAAATAACATTTAAAAAAAGTTCAGACGTTCTTCGCAACGAATGGCTGATTACTGATGTATTTAGCCCAACAATAAGGTTCANCTAATATTCAAAAGTAGAATGGCCAAAGCGTCATCTGATCCTCTGACTTTTCGAACACCAGCTACCAAGTAACGACGATCGTAGAGAAGACGTTTCCAGTTGTAACGGAAATCACGACGAGCCAGACGGCCTNTCGGGCGATTGTAAATTATATTGAACTGCAAATTCTTCTTCGATTTCCGCTGATTTTTTGAGAAAGAATTACCTGGCACGTTGCCAAGTTAGCATCATCGAATGGCGACTTTGTGAATAACGATTTGATGTGTTGACTTCCGTCGTAGAAGATATTGATAGAGTCATAACGAAGTTTATGGACTTGAACAACAGTAAAATAGGCCAAATCAACAGAATCCGCATCTCGGGCATCTAAAAAATGTTTTTCTGTGTACCCCGATGCCTGTAGGATAACTCACAATGATCAACTCCCCACCCTAGATGTCTTGCTCTAGAGCTCACATTTTGTTTTAAGGTGAGCACACTGTATCGAGGATCTTGGTAACGGGCGATCTCCTGAAAATTGAGATTGAGATTGAAACATTACTACCGTATATACCGTATGCTTGTCACTCAACGAATAAATCACACATTTTCTGGTATATCGCTTCAGCTCTCGTTCCATTGCGACACTTTTCGAATTATGCACAAAGATAGCGTTGCATTGATGCTCATTTTGCTGGAATTGAAAAAAATAGACTTCGAAAGAATAACGTTAAAGGAGATTCTGAGATTCTGAGATTCTGAAATTCTGAAATTCTGAGATTCTGAAATTCTGAGATTTTGAGATTCTGAAATTCTGAGATTTTGAGATTCTGAAATTTTGAGATTCTGAGATTTTGAGATTCTGAAATTTTGAGATTCTGAGATTCTGAAATTCTGAGATTCTGAGATTCTGAGATTCTGAAATTCTGAGATTCTGAGATTTTGAATGATAGAAGACCACAAAGCCCGTCAACTTTGAGCCTGTATATCGCGAAACCTGTGAAAGATATCAAAAAGTTGTCAACTGACAAAATATTTGTAATATTATGATAAGCATTTTGTCAGTTGACTACTTTCTGATACCTATAGGGAATGAGATAAATTGGCTCAAAGTTGAAGGTTTTTGGGCTTCTACTTGAGAAAATATAGTACTCTGAGACTCACATCAACAAGCCAATTCAGCCATAAAATTGAATGTTTTGCCGAGCCAATCACCTTGATTCGTTCTCGAAAGTGTCGATACGAACACTTATCCACCACTTGATGAAGTGATGGCCACATCTGAATTCTTTTTGAAAATTGAGGATATGCAACGATGCTCTACAGTACCCTCTGGAAAAATTGATCATCACTTTCTTGGGTATTTGTCTGGAGATGAAGGCATTCTCGAGCTTCTCGGACTGACGATGGAGGCTAAAATTTTTTGAATTTGAATTTTCAAAAATTTAGCATTCCAAAAACTGGGTCGCCACTTTCTAAGTTGCCATGAAAACTATTGAAATTGTTTACCTTTCCAATAAAAATGAGCCGAAAAACGAATAAAGTGAGCTCGGCAGAAACAAGAAGAAGAAAAAGAACATGTGGATTTGTGAATCGAATGTACTTCATCGGGAAAATTTAGAAGAGAAGAAAGAAGAAGAGGAAAAGGAATAAGAAAAGGGACAGGGGTGTCACACAGGAAACACGAAGCATTTTTCGGAAGATCCGTATCTTCTGGGTATCAGATCTTTGCGGAAAATTNTCGCGTACGAAATGTCCGGCTACGAAATGTCCGGGAGCCATTTCCAGGAGGATATGATATTGGGCTGATAACAACGGGGATGCGCTACGATCTGAGATTCAAAGATGTTTCGAGATCGAGATTCCCCTTCAGTTTAAATTTTCTTGTTTCTTTGTTAATTTCTTTTTCTCTAAGGAATGTATTTTTTGAAAATCCGTCTTCAAAAGAATCAATAGTTTAAACCTTTAGTA